TCGTTAGCTGGTCTTTTTTGTGCAATGATCCCTGGTACTTGTGGCTGGGTAGAGTTCGTTGACCTTTTGCGGGCTGTATTTTTCAGTATTGGGAACCAGGTCATGTTTAGCTTTAGGCCTTCTTCTTTTTTGTTGAAGTTCTGTTGATGTTTATGGATTTCAATGGCTTCTCTGTGCAGTCTAACATACAGATTGCTGGTGTTGTCCAGTACTTCAGTATTTTGAAATAGAATTTCATGTCCAGCTTGTTTTAGGGCATGTTCAACTACTCCTGATTTTTCCAGTTGTTTTAGTCTGCAGTGTCTCTCATGTTCTTTGATTCTGGTGTGAATGCTGCATCTTGTGGTACCTTGCAGTTGTGGACAGGTATATATTGGTTGCCCATTCGTTTCCACATTGATTTCAAAGTGCTAATGATGACGTACAAAGCCCTAAACGGTTTGGGACCTCGATACTTGGCAGATCGTCTTCTCCCACCTACATCTACCCGAATCACCCTATATAGCCAGCAGGGACAACTGAGGGGCTTAATGCTGAAAGAGGCTCGGAAGGAAAGAACAAGAACCCGGGCCTTCTCGGCAGTGGCCCCTCGGCTATGGAACACTCTCCCAATTGAAATCCTCGCTGGGTGTTTTCAAAAGCCACTTAAAAATTTAGCTCTTTAGGCAGGCCTTCCCGCCAGTCAATTAACTTATCTTTATTTTTTTCTTTCCTGAGCGATGTCATCTTGACAATGGTTTTTAGAAATAAGTGTTAAAGTTTGTATCTCAGATGATTTTTATGTTTCCTATATTGCTGTGTTTTTATTATGTATGTAAGCTGCCCCGAGTAGACTTTGTCTAGGGGGGCAGGGTAAAAGTCCAATAATAAAATAAAAATATATAATATCTCCCCCCTTATCACAACAAAAACACGCTGATCACCCTATCTCCTGAAAAGGACAAAAGCTGTTCCCACAGCTATAAATCCTCAACTATCCAACAAACAGCAACAGAGCATAGACAGAGTTCCTACTCCAATCCTCTGAAGATGCCAGCCACAGAGACTGGTGAAACGTCAGGAAGAACAAGCTTCAGAACACAGCCAAAGAGCCCAAAAAACCCACAACAACCATCAGATGTTAATATACTCAACATGTTCATCCAGTATCCTTGACCATTTAGCCTAAAATCTCTTGTATAGTTTACACTGATATAGCACAAATAGTGCAACTTTTAGATATGAATTCCCTTAAGTTAAGAAATGACAGTACACACAATCAGTTGAAAACTGAGTTGTATGGCTCAGTATCTAACTGGTAATGACTGAAGTGATTTCATAACATAGAGCAGTTTGCCCTCTACAGAGCTAGGCAAGAAGATATGGCTATCATCTTTCACAAAAATATTCCTCATACTTGATAAATATATCCCATGAATGAGTCTGAGGAGAATAACGGGTTACAATCCTGCTACTGTACAATGTGGAAACTTCATTATTATGAGTCTGTGTATTATCCAGAATTACAATCTATGCTCTTGAATCTTCCTATTGTAAAATAGACTTCAAGGAATCATGATTTGGGCCAGAATTATATTGTCTGATATTGAATTATAACATAAAGAACTTTTCTAACATCAGCTGGTTTTGTGGATGTAGTCTTTGACTTTTTTCCCCTGTAAATGATAATGAGTTCCATCTATAATTGCATGAGCTAAATTGCTTCTATTCAGCATAAATTTTAAATATATATGCACGTCTTAAAGAATGGCAAGGGCTGTCAGAAGCAAAGTTTCCCCATGGATGTTTTCACTTTGAAAAAGCAAGGGGCATCACCATCTTTTTCTCTTT